AGTTTAGCATACAGTACTACTCTATTTGCATATTAGCCTTGCTAGTTTCCGTATAAGAATCTAAGAATCATTTCTATACTCTATGAATACGATAATACATCTTACAATTTAGTTCCTTTCTACAAAATTAATAATGTATAATAATTTTACAAAATATGAGCTCTCTCACTTTCAGTGTGCCAGTGTGCCAAAAAGTCAGTGCCTAGAATACAGTATTACAATAAGATAATTTTAAGAATAAAGTTCTAGTATAATAACAATTCTCCAGTTTAGTACTGTAGCTGTATTATTAATTTTTAGATTAAATATGATATGAAATAACTTTTAGACTTATTGTAGGGTGTCACTCGCTGTCCAACTCTTATTTAATTAAAACCTACATGATTATATAGGTTAAGCATGTTAAATTAAGAATATCGGGGTCCGATAATCTATGGGAATGTGGTATGGGCATAATCCAGTGGTCAAGTTTGCGATAATCGTCGACCATTTTAATTTTCAAAGTTTTTATATGCATTATTCACTTTTTTTACATTACTCATACTATAAAATGAGTTAAAAATAATGCATGAATTCACATCAAATGTCAATTGAGTTTGTATAGAGCGTTATACGAATATCGCAAACTTGACCACTGGATTATGCCCGTACCACATTCCCATAGATTATCGGACCCCGATATTCTTAATTTAACATGCTTAACCTATATAATCATGTGGGTTTTAATTAAATAAGAGTTGGACAGCGAGTGACACCCCATAGTTAGTGATGATTTAATGATATTTATTAGATCTGAATACTCGAGTACTTTCGGTCCTAAACGGAACCTTCAGCAGGAGTTATAAATAATTATGAAAAAAATTGTTGAACTAACTGTTAGTGTAACTGCAAACTATACTGTGTTATTGAAAAAATTATTGCTCTTATTGTTTTATTACTGTACCGTACAGGTAAATTTAGTTTAAAAATGATTAGACTATTTACAAACAAATTATATTGTAATTACGGATTAATATTATAAGTGTAGTTCAATTGTGATTAATGAGCAATACTGTACAGTATTGTACACTATTCTTACGAAATACAAATTCTATTATATACAATATTTTAGTTTATCGTGTGGTTAAAAAAATAAAAACTACCTTGCTAGTCTATCATATGATGATAAAACATTTGAAATATACTAAAGTTGGTGATGGAAAGGGGAAAGGATCAAATTTTGGGCCAAAAGTGGTGTTTCGTGTTCGGGGCAGTGAATGTGATGATTACGTGACATCATTGGTGGTCACACCGTCTGAACTCAATGAAAGTGTTTGATGTACTGATGTATTGATGTATTCGATGGAAACCTATGATTACAGCAGTGTTTGCAGTGTTTGTTGTTTTTGCGATCATTTGTTCCCACAATCACTGCATGTCTTCACTATCCAAACCTCCAAACCATTCACTCATCCATTGACTGAGCCATAGACGCATCGGTTGACACATTGATGAGTGCAGTAGTGGTGTAAAGGATGCTGAGGAATGGGAGTGGAGGTGGTGTTGACTGCCTGGACAGTCTGGACAGCGAGGGTCTGGCGCTTGCACTGAAGCACTTCACGTCATCGACACTAACCATGCGATTGACGGGAATCACGCAAATCAACAATTATATCACCATTTACTCGGAGCTGTGCCACTCGGACACCACCGGTATGTCAGGGCATGGATGTGATGCTATGGTGGCTGTGATGGCAATGCAATGATGTGTTGATGTGTTTGCAGGCGTGTTGGCGGCGAAGGCGGACTCAATGGGTGTGGAACTGGCGAAGTGGGTGATGGAGAAGCGGATCATTGAGCACGTGTTTGGCCCGAACTCGCACGTGGAAGTGATAAAACAGAGCCATATTGTCCTCAACTTCGTGGCCTCACAGATCACTGTAGAGCACATTGACGTGATTTGGTCGGCCTCTCAGATGAAGCACTGCGGCCGTCAAGTGTTGGACATATTGTTGCCATTGATTAAGAACTTGAAGTTGAAGTCAGTTCTGCACTTGTATTGGCTGCTCAAGAATCTGGAGCCCAAGGAGCACACGGAACAGACATTGGTGTTGGCCTCACAGCTCTTGAAGTACATATGGAGTCAAGCGAACAGTTCGGCCGGTGATATGATGGCCACAGTTGGCGGTCAGGCGTGCGTGCAATCCGTGAAGTTGATGGACGACCTGACACTAGTGCGGAGTCCCATCTTCACGATGCTTCCCTCGAGTCAAAAGAGTCGACACAACGCCGGCCCCGACTCGAGCTCTTCCAGCGGTTCGGTCGACAACTCGGACGACGACGAGGACGACGACGACTATGACGTGGATGTGACCCAAACCATAGCCACACCCCCTGTCTTCAGACAAAAGGCCAAACGGTTGTGTAATTCGAGTAATAATAACAGTAATAACGACGAGAGCTCTGAAGGCACGTCTGAGTCAGAAGACGACGAGATTATTATCCCTGACTTGAGTGAGGAGAACATGTCGGGCGCGGGCGGGCGTCTCCATCAGGCACTGGTCGGCAATTACAGCAACTCTTCGTCCAGCGATTTGGTGCCAATGGCTGTGCGCGACGTCGTGGCAGCCATTCATAGAGATAATAGTTTTAATAATAGTCAACAAAACAGTATTGAAGACAATCAGAAGAACAGCGATATCTCTAAAAACACTTCATTCCTGAGTATGTCTTCTGTGTGTAAATCGTCGCAAACTTTTCACTAATTGTTTCGTTTGTCTACAGATCTTACGTTTTCAGATCGCATTCAATTCAAACTCAAAAGTGAACAACAGTTGGATTTAGTGAAGCAATCCGTACAGAGTGAAGGTAAAGATGTGTCGCCCGCTATTACACCCGACCCTCACGACCCCTGCCCTGAAGGTGCTCCCGGAGCTCCCGTTGCCATTCAGTCAGAATTACAGACACCAGACGTGATGGAAAAGTTGGTTAAACTGACTGAAGGTCTCAATAGTAAGAACGATGAGCTGAGTGACAACTCGAGGCCCAGCAGTAGAAACAGTCGATTAAGTGATAAAAATATGGCCGACTTTGAAGGCGAGGACTCCGACATTGATCTGACAAAAATTGACGTGACAGGCGATGACTGTGCGGATCATTATTTCGATGATCTGGACAGCAGTGGTGGCAATAAGTCTCCCTCTGCTTCTGCAAAGTTAGCGACAATCGCTCAGCAAATAGTGAAACAACAGCTGAAGTTAGGCGACAACAACACCGATACGAGTGAGTCGACTGATAAAAGCGGCAAAACTAACTGCGACGCCGAAGATCAGGATTTGGTGGACCTGTCCATCGAGAATGTCTGCAAACCCGGCCGAACACTACTCTGGGATTTACTTCAAGACGATATGATACAGCAGTTGCCGGAAGGGCTGTCCCACGAGACGGAGAGGATCTTCTGGAACACGGTTTGCTGGTCCAGCGATCGGCGCATTCGCATGAAGTTCATCGACGGATGTTTAGACAATTTGGCCAAAAATTATTCAGTGAACACGTCGTTACGTTTGTTACCGAAGTTTTTGTTGTCTTTCCAGCAGTACAGGGGAGGGATGGACACCCACCAGATCCTGCTTTGGGCCGACAAAGAGCGCCATATGTTGCGCCACTTCTTCACTAATTTGTGTATTTATTGTAAAAGCAAATTGAAATCAAAACCCCAGCCATTGACTCATAACTCAAGTGATTTGTCAAACAAATCGGACACAAGTATTAACTGCGGTGTCATTAGTGATATGTATTCACATTTGGATGAAATCCAGACTCGCCTTAATTTCTTAACCTTTGTCTTCTCGAGCGCCGGCTCTCCCGATAATTTCAACTTAACTCACGAACAGATAGACATTCTGTGGTCAACACTGGCCACCGATCCCGAGTCAGCCGATGAGCTCTTCAATTGGCTTCTCAGTCAGTCTTAACTATATTTGAAGATTGATATGAATTGTAATGAATATTACTTTTGATTGACAGGTCAAGTGCGGTGCCGAGACAATCATGGCTTGGGTATCGATATGTTGCATCACATACTCATCGAAAAGCTGCCACAACTACCACCGGAACAGTTCTCAATGATGGCGTTGGAACTGTTGCAGACTCTGTCGGGTTGTCTTCTCACACAACTCAACAATAAAACCAACGAATCGCTCGACTCGACGGCAACCAAACAGTTATGGGATATTGCCCTCCGATGCTGTAATACCGACGTCTCGATGACTGCTATTAGACATCTCAACCATTACTACATCAATCTTCAGCCCCACAGCACACGACTGGCCAAAGAGGAGGAGTTTATAAAACAATGTATGGATTATATGGAGACGGCGTCCAAACATCTCACTGAGAACGAGGAGAAGAGTTTGACTATTATTCAAAGGGCTGTGGTTTTAGTGAAAACACATTTAGAAGGCTTCAGAAGTCGGTACGCCTATAATTTTAGGCGCTGGCAGTTGAACGGCGACACAGAACTGGTCAGTCATAAGGGCAAAGAGAGGACCGGCTGTTTACTGAGAATCAGTTGCCAACCGGCGTCTCTGCCCGACCGCACCATCTTTGAGATGCAGAGCACTGACTACGTGGGCGAACTTAGGGCTGAAGTGCAGCATTGGTGGGAGTCTTTGATTCAGAAATATGAGGATATGATCGACAAAAGGCCGCCATTTTCTAATTTCAATGCCGCGAGTATTAGCGACGGTCCGCTTAGGCTCTTAACACAGGGTTCGTATTGTTTGACAATTGATTGGTATTACTGTACGGTGTGATTGCTATCATTTTAATGTATTTCAGGACAAGAAATAACGCACGACTTCGATGAGAAACAATTGGCTGAAGTAGGCTTCAAAGACATGCAGATAGTGTTCGTGTCGGTGGGAATGGCCCGCAGTTTTCGCAAATTCCGCGACCACTCGGAACCGGCCTCTACTCTGCCGCCGCCCCCTAAAGACCGCATACCATCGATACTATTACTTCAGCCCCAGAACTTTGAGAAGTTGTTTACTTTGATGCAACAGTTGGGCGCTCACAAGACCGCCATTCATATCAAAGCACAGGTGTTGTCGCGTCGGGTCTGGGAAATCATTCAAATGCTTCCCACGTCTCCCAACCTCTTGGAGTGCTTTCAAACCATTAGTGTGAGCGCCGCTGTATTGTCCGACTCGGGCAACGACAGTGTGTCCAACACGGAGAACACTACCACCCCTTCCACATCACACAAACCCATCTCAGATCTGTTCAATAAGCTCCTGTCGCCGTCGAGTCCCCAGAAGCTGATGTACTCGTGTCAGATCGTCGAGTGTTTGCGTCGCAACTCCAAGATATGGACGCAACAGTTCATCGATTGCGGAGGTCTTCAGCATTTGTTCGACATATTCGTGTCGGGAGTGTTGCAGTCGGGCGATGGGGCGGGCGATGCCTGGAATGAGTGGAAACAGGACTGCTTGGCCTCACTTCTTCAGCTCATATACCAGTTTGGAGTCAATCCGATTCCATCCAAATGTGATATTAAAAGTAGTGATAAAAACGATGAAAACGACAAGTCATCTGCCGGTGCGTTAGATCACATGTCATCGCCATCTGTTCCGTCGACTTCGATGATAATCACAGAAATGGTTCGCAAAGCCAAACGCTCTCGAAAAGGATCGACAGATAAGCTATTAGTGCCTCAACTCAACTCAAAACTCTTACATATGATTCGTGACGTCGACTCAATGCTAAAGGTTTTGCTCACAATTTTGAATGAGGCGACCACTAAGGGCTCGGATGTGGTCCAGACTTATCACACGGGCTTCTGGGGTCGAGCGCAGGTCGTTCACCACACGATGACGTTTCTAATCTCTTGGGCTTTCAGTGATCCACAAATCCGTGGTTCTCTATACCAGACGGAGAACTTGGATCAGTTACTCAAGAAGTTAGTGCTCGACGACCCCGACCCGGCCATACGGCGCGAGGCCTGCACCGGCTTCTATCGGCTGTGTCTGGGCTTCACAGCAGACGGCAATACGGGACACATATTTATACCACAACTGTTGAACTCATTGTTAAGTTTCCTGAAAGTGGCCCAAAATATGAGAGCACCTAAACTGTACGACTCGGACGACATATTCATTCCCGACAAAGAGCCGTATGGGCCGGGATGTAAGGACTACTTCTGGTTGGTTTGCCGTCTCGTCGACTCATTAGACAAACAAAAGATGGTCGACAGTGTCAGTGCTGGTGATGGCAACAGACCTGAAGTGGATTTGGAAGTGTTGTGCACTTATATCGCCGAAGCGATAGTTGTCCGCGAGATTCGTGAGACCAGACATAACACCGTTGAAGACGAGGGCCTTAGAGGTCTGATTGCACTCTTAACGGTAACCCTTAAACACAACCCTTCGTTCAAGTATTCAAAAGAAGGCCGAAAATTTGTGACCGAAGTGTTTGACTGTCTGTTTGCACTTCCGAACCAAATTGAGAAACATTTACCCAAATGTAAGTCTCCGTCCACTCGATCGGCAGCCTTTGATCTGTTGGTAGAGCTGGTGAAGGGCTCGGAGGATAACTATGACGTACTCGTCAACCTTATGATGGATCAGCACAATCCCGAGTTGTCCGGTCGTATGTCTCCCTATCCCTGGGACTACTGGCCCCACGATGACTGTCGTTCCGACGCTGGATATGTTGGGCTAACAAACTTGGGTTAGTTTTAAAATTATTTTTACCTGTTTAAAATGACCTGTTATTATAACTGTAATGTTTGGCTACAGGTGCGACCTGTTATATGGCATCATGTATGCAACACTTATATATGATACCTGAGGCGCGGTATATCTTACTGTCCACGACGTTGGCCTCTGTTGTCAAACACGACGCCATATTAAAAGAGTTGCAGAAAATGTTTGTGTTTTTGTTGGAATCGGAGCGCAGGGCTTACAACCCGAAGAGTTTCTGCAAAGTGTATACAATGGATCACCAGCCGCTCAACACCGGTGAACAGAAAGACATGACTGAGTTCTTCACTGATCTCATTAGTAAACTCGAAGAAATGACACCAGAGTTGAAGGATTTAGTGAAACGTCTGTTCAGCGGTTCCCTCTCTAATAACGTGGTGTCACTCGACTGCCCGCACATCTCGCAGACCACCGAAGAGTTTTACACATTGAGGTGTCAGGTGTCGGATATGAGGAATTTAAACGAGTCGTTGGATGAGATCACTGTGAAAGACACTCTCGAAGGCGATAATATGTACAACTGTTCCCGTTGTGGACGCAAAGTACGTATTCTTAAGCATTGATGTGATTTGTTGCTAATATATTGCCGTAATATTAGGTGAGGGCCGAGAAGAGGGCGTGTATCAAGAATTTGCCAAAAATTCTGTGCTTTAATACAATGCGCTATACATTCAATATGGTGACGATGACCAAGGAGAAGGTGAACACACACTTCTCGTTCCCCTATCAGTTAGATATGGCTCCATATCTCGAGAAGAATCTCATTAAAACCAAAGGCAAAGACTCGGACGACAAGTCCGGTTCGGACGAGTCTATGGCCACCGATCAAGACTCGACCCCAGGAGGAGGACTATCGGAACCTGAGACCAGCACTGAATATATGCTGATTGGCGTCACTGTTCACACGGGAACTGCTGATGGCGGCCATTATTACTCATTCGTCAGAGAACGAGAGTCTGTAAGCCCTGGAGCTCAGGATAAGTGGTATCTGTTTAACGACGCGGAAGTGAAGCCCTTCGATAAGACACAGATCGCAACCGAATGTTTTGGCGGCGAAATGACGAGTAAAACATACGATCAGGTCTTGTCTTACATGATATGCTTGAAGTTCTTGCGGATAACTAATGAATATGTGATCTATAGGTGACGGATAAGTTTATGGACTTTTCGTTTGAGAAGACCAACTCTGCGTATATGTTATTCTATGAGCGCATTGACAAAGAGTCGAGTGTTGAGAGTGTGGAGAGAGTGACGCCTACAGTGCAGTTGACGCCTGACTTGTCGGAGTGGATCTGTGAGGACAACATCTCATTCTTGAGGGACAAGTCTATCTTCGAACACACGTACTTCGACTTCATGTGGCAGATATGCGGTTACATTCCGCAGACTCTGCCCACCAACCAGTCATCGCCTAAAGTGACTCTACAGTCGGCGCGATTGGCCACCAGTTTTGTGTTGGAGACACTCATTCACGCCAAAGAGAAGCCAACGATTGCTAATTGGATCGAACTGTTGACCAAACAATTCAATTCCTCACAACAGGCCTGTGAGTGGCTTATGGACCACTTGGCCGAAGACGACTGGTGGCCAATACAGATACTTCTGCGCTGTTCCAACCAAATGGTGCGCCAACTGTTCCAACGCCTCTGCATTCATGTGATCGTTCAGCTCAAGCCATCACAAGCGCCTCTATATCTCCAGCCCCTCAACGATGACAGCGACGACTCGAATGACGTGGAAGTGCTCACACATGTCGGCCGCTTCTCATGTGTCACTCGTTTCATACGAAAACTCCTGTCACTCATAAGCATCGAAAATCTGAACGCAAAGCCACACCTCAAACATCTGACCGAATATTTTGCCTTTTTGTGCGAATTCGCAAAACAGGGCGACGAAGAGTGCAAATTCCTGTTGGCCGTGGAGGCCATCTCTACTGTCGTCTCCTTCTATATGGGACTCTGCGGTAAGAGTGCCAACGATTACGTCGAAGTGCTCTCTGAAGACGAAGACGAGGAGGAAGAGGATGACTCGAATAGTCCGCAAAACAACGCTGGCTTCTCAGGCGCCCACCCCTACAACCAAAAGATGACACATCCGGTGGGGCCCGTCATCGACGACAAGTTCCCAAAACCCGCCTCTTTGGACAAAATGATTACATTAGTGGCACTACTCGTGGAGAAGTCCAGAGGCAAAGACAATCGCCTTCGACTCTCTGATCGAGACTACGAGTCGATTGCCAGCGGAAAGTCGTTTCCATTCCTTCAGCAACAGATTCGGGACAACATAAACCTGCGCCAGACGTGTAACCTGATCTGCTCCCTGTGCCGCTGGAACGACCACTTCTCGCTCCTCATCGTCAACATGTTGTTTACGTCTATCACTCGCATTCCCGACTCGAGCGGTCCTTTCTTTAAGATTCTGTCGATGCTCGTAGAGATCGGTATGTGTTATGCATTTGCAGTTTAAGCTACCAGTGCCGCCACAATCCATGCATTTTCTTTGTTTTACTGAATTGGTGCCAATTATTAATCAATTTGTTTGCATTTGACTCGCAATAGGCATAACCCCTGGTCTGCAGCCCTTTTCAAACCTAATACTTCCTCGTATTTGGGAGATCGCCGAACAAACACCTCTACAGACACTGGAGTGGCTGACAGGACAGGTGCCCCGCAATAAAGTAGCCAATGCTTGGGTGCTCGGGCAGGTGGACTCATGGATCCTGTACTTCTTGGTCGCCCACTCCAACATGAGAGTGCGTTCAAATGCGGCACAACTACTCATTTCATTAGTTCCTAACAATAGTTTTCGCCAAAACTATCGGCCCTCCCGTCCCTTTCCATACGCCGGTGTCAAAGAGTATGACTTTAGCAGCGAAGCGGTTCTAATCGTCGATCAAATATACAATATTTTGCTTCAATTACTAAAACGTATCAAACAGTACGCCGACCCCCAAACACACGGCACCCAAAAGTTGACCTCATATTTCATAGTAATGTCGTATTGTCTGATATCTCAACGCCAGAAACTACTACTCGTGCCATACTTTAACGATTTGTGGGATCTGTTTCAACCCAAACTCAGCGAACCCGCCATCGCTATCCACCAGAACAAGCAGGCGCTGCTCATGTACTGGTATATGGCGTGTCAGGACTGTCCCGAAAACGTCAAATGCATCGTCCAATCGGCTCACGTCACCAAAAACATTGCCTTTAATTATATCTTAGCTGACCATGATGATGCGGTGAGTGCACATTCAGCCATTGTTTAGCCATTTTGTTGAATAGATGTCGTGATTGTATAATTGTCTGCCATTGTCTTTGTGTGCAGGAAGTGGTGTTCTTCAACAAGATGATGCTTCCCAATTACTACGGACTCCTACGCCTTTGTTGCCAACAGTCCCGCCCCTTCACCCGACACCTGGCTATGCATCAGAACATTCAGTGGGCCTTCAAAAACATCACACCCTATATAACGCAATACCCGCTCGCCATTCAGGAACTCCTAAAACTCATGAAGATTTTTGTGACCACACATACCGACACCACTGAACAAGAGCTCCGGGATATAACGCACTTCAAGCGCATAACAATGCAAATGTACTTGACTTCAGTGGACGCCCGCAGCTCATGGCAGACACTAATCAGCGCTCTTTCCATACTGTGTGAGACCGAAGAGGACCGACTGTTTGTGTTGGCCAACAACGGTCTCATGAGTCTGTTTCAGGCCTTCCACGCCATGTATCTCATGTTCCACGAGGCGACCGCTTGTCATATCACCAACGAATTGGTTGAGTTGCTTAAGATTATTGTCCAACTGTTGCACACTTTAGGCCAGAGTTGCGGTCAATCGCCACTTCGGGACGTGAAGAACAATTGGAGAGATCAGGCGGAGGTTATGCGCAAAAACATACTTCTCGTCAATTCCTACACTCCATCCCCCGTTCGCATCGCCTGTTTAGGTAGTGATCGTCGATAAGCATTCAATGACTTGAATTAACACGTGTTTTGACATTTTGTTTGCAGGAGTTTTGACTGAAATGATTAAAATATACGCCAAAGATTTTTTACCACTTTTGGTGCAACTCTTGGGATTACAGCACATCAGTTGTGCTGAACAGAGCCAATCATGTAAGGGAACGGCTATGAGTAATACCTGTTTTTTATGCTTTAAAATGATGTACTCATTTGCAATGTTGTAGTCATCGCGGGCCCATATTTTCCGCGTCGCGGACAACGAGTGATGCTCACGAAGTCGAGTGTCAGACCCTCGCGACCCGTTTTCCAGATGTGTTTCAATCCAAAAATGCTTGAATGCGGGAAAGGTATCGATAAAGATTACGACCGCGCGATTGCCGACTACTTTGAACCCTACTATCACTTCATTGACTCCATCGCTCGGACAGCAATCCAGAACTCACTCGTGTCGAGTGATTTGGTGGGCCTCTGTACGTGTGATTAATGCTACCCTTACGTGATATGAGATACTGTTTAATATGTTTAATAATGGTTTTGTTTGATTCACAGGTTCTGCGGCTGCACTCGAAAGCCTTAACTTTAACTCAACTGTATTTCCGAAGCTATTCATAGACCTAATAAATATGGATTCCGATGAGTCCAAGAGTTTTGTGGAGAACTTGTGCTCGACTTCATATTTTAGGGAATATATCTCATTAGTGCTGACACAGGAGCGACAGTTTCTTAATAATGAGCTCACATACGAATTACTCAAACAATATTTGCCTAAAGTATTCATTCAATTGACTATTAATTATTATATTGTACGGTAATTAAAATTTTGTGTATTTATTTAGATTCAAAAAAGTGTAATAACTTTGGCACTCATGACACAAGTGTTAACATTAATCAAAGCCTTTTGTCAGATATTTAACACTTTGGACATTAATAAACAAACGATTCAACTGAATGGGGTATATATACTGTATTTCATGGTTCAGTTCCGTATTTATAGACTAATTTGAATTGATTTTTGAATAGGATTTGCGAGCAGTTTATTTAGTATTTATGGTACAAATTCAGAATAATTTGGGCGACGATCTATTGAAACAATTTTGTGAAACACTTAAGAAATTAAAGGATAAATGCATTGAGAAGAGTAAATGTGAATCAGGTATAGCTTTCATTACACTATTGTGTGTTTATAATGGTTTTGCTAATCAATTCACATTTAATGGACTGATAGGAGAAACGCCCCAAAAGAGGCGAAAAACCAAAGACGACACGTCCGACTCTGAAGCGACTACTGGAACCACTTCTGGTGACACTCACAGTAATCCGGACACCAGTGATAGTAGCAGTGATGGAGAGTCTGTAGGCGCCGCTGAGAGCGGTTGCGAGCGATTGATATCAACTATTAACGAATTGTTAGAAAAATTTGAGTCTTAACTGTGTTTTAGTTTTTGAATATATTATAAATTTAATTGTTTTATAATTAAAAGTAAATTATTATTTAAATGACTGTATTTTGTAAGAAAGTTATGACAAACAAATCGATTATTTAATGATTTTCTCATTAATTACAAATATAAGTATATTTTCTTTTTTAAAGTTAAATGTTTGTATAAATAATTAATAATTATCTAACTTTTTTAAACAAATGCTTTGGAAACAAAACAATGGATATATTTTATGGTTAAAAAGTTTTGAATGTAAATTATATTTAAAAACTTTAAAAAATTGTAGACATTTTTATTGTATAATAATTGCAAATAAGATTAAGTAAAATTAAAACCAATGGTATAATCCATTGTATAAAAATATGTGACATTGAATTCTTATATAAAAATTGTTTGACAAATATGAATGCAGTAGAATCTCTGAAAGTAGAATGGCTAAATGTTTTGTATTTATTATACATGTTTAGGCATGTGATTATGGTTCAGTACGATTGCCTTGGATTCCAACAAATATCATAACTTATCTGTTTTGCAGTCATTTGTGTCAATCGATTTGAAGTTATTGGAAAAGATCCTATAAATTTAAATCATAAGATATTTTGTTGAAAAATAACAAATATTATATACAGTATAATAATTTTATTTAAAAAACCAAACGTTTAAATTTTGTTTTCATTAAAAAATAAAAGCTTACAGCTAAGTAAATTCTGTAAGTTAACTAATGATTTAAATACAGTGAAATGTTAATCATATTTCTAATATATACTATTAATGTAGATTCTACATTGTAGACATTAAACATTTAATGGAAGTTTAAATGTTTAACTTAAGAATAATAATAATTTATAATTTTCAGACCACACTCTATATAAGGAAAATAAGGATTTCATGAAAAGTAGTGTTGAGAAGACAAACAGAATAAATATTTTCTATTATGTTAAGTAGAATTTGATATACTGTATAAATTTGGATGACTTACGACTGATCTACATCAAATAATTATCCAGGACAAATATAATTTTTGATTAAAATAGTTGTTTGCACCATGTAGATTCTACATTGTAGAACATAATTTTAAATTAATTTAAAAATAGTAAAACCTTTCGTTAGCACGAGATATTAACAAGGTATGTTCTATATGGTGCAAACAACTATTTTAGTCAAGAATTATATTTGTTCTGGATAATTATTTGATGTAGATCAGTCGTTAGTCTAGTGATCTCGGTTTATATCTATAATTTAATTATGAATTCTTGTGTTTAAAAGTCAGTGTTTGACTGAATTTTTTGTTGAATAAAGAGGATATCATGAATATATTAACTGGAATTGTCGTCTGAAGCAACCACTAGTGGTTAGCCATTAAATTGTTGATTGGGAGACACTTTTTACAGTAAATATTTAATATAGAGTATAATTTTCTGTGTTTATGTGTTTACATCAATTCAAAGGAATTCTTTGTTGTCAGCAAATGATTAATAGATGTTTAAGTGTTTATATCATAAATTGAAAAACTTTCAAATATAAAGATAGAGTATAAGTGTTGAGTAAACAAAAATTATTCATTGAATTGATTTGAATGCCGACGTCATGCTAAGTAAGCCCAGGGATGGACTCATTTAGCATCTGTTATTAGGAAGAGTTGATTCACTTGTTGTGACCAATAATTATTTTGTAATATATTTAGTAACAATCAAAGTATATCACAATATTTCATAATTGGCTTTATTTTCTTAGAAATTTAAATTATATGCACCGGTAGTATTAAAATTATCAAAACTGTCATTTTGCTCATCACTGATATAAGTGAATGGTTTGTTAACTAATGTGTCATTAAATTAATAAATATAACTCATGTGACAATCACTGAGCAACATAGTCCTAGCAATTGATATAAATTTCGCCATAATTGTCAAATAAATTATGACAATATAAATTTAATAGTTGCATATTTAGTATTTTTCAAATGTTTTCTACGTGTATATGTAATTATCATAACATTGATGTAAACATAAGATAATTTATAATGCATTCGGACTTTTAATCCCTGGTTATTCATTAATTTCTTATAAATGCATGAATAGCCTATTGAACTGCTATTATTTAAACCAGAAATTATTAGCTTTTCTAATCATTCAGTTTTGATGCTAGTTATTGAGATAACAAATTGAAAACTTTATATCATAAAATTAATATAACATTTGATTC